CACTTTGGGAATGTTACAATCTTTTTTTGTGTATAACTTTTTTTTGGAGGGTGGACAAATGAAAATAACGGGTGGACAAACGTGGACAAACAGTGGACAAACGAATGCAATAATGATTTTACCAATATTCGCATTTAGGGGTGCCAACTTCATAAAGCAGCTCTGTAAAGTTGGAATCTGTAAATGCGAATATTGGTAAAATCATTATTGCATTCGTTTGTCCACTGTTTGTCCACGTTTGTCCACCCATTATTTTCGTTTGTCCACCCTATGTTTATTATATTTTTCGTAATAGTGTAAAATAACCACTTGGGGGTGTTACAATTTTTTTTTTGTATAACTTTTTTTAGGAGGGTGGACAAATGAAAATAACGGGTGGACAAACGTGGACAAACAGTGGACAAACGAATGCAATAATGATATTACCAATATTCGCATTTAGGGGTGCCAACTTCACAGAGCGCTACGCGCGCGATTCTTTTTTTTTTGAACGACCATATAATTTTCTCTTACAAAATTTACACCAAAGCATAATCGATTAAGTATTAAATTATAATTACATTTCTTTACGTCTTATTAAATTCGTCATATTCGAAAAATCTTATTGATTTCCGCAACATTTCCGTCTGCCATATTGAATTTAAAAATTTGGAACACGGAATCAAAATCAGCGTTCGCGGTAACCCCCATTTACCTAATTTCGCTGAAATTTTTAAATTTTTATGTATTTCGCAACACTTTCGTCCGCCATTTTGGATTAACCATTTGGAATTTCCTAATTTTGATCACGGATTCGAAATCAGCGTCCGCGTAAGCCCCCTTAATCCAAATTTCGCCGAAATCGGAAAACCTTTAAGATTTTCGCATCTTTTCCGTCCGCCATATTGGATAAGTCTTTTTTAATTATCATAATTTTTACCATGTTTTTAAAAGAGCGTCCCCGAAAATTTCTTGTTACCAAAATTCACCATTTTCGGATTACTTTAACTGCCTCAACGAATAGAGGCTTCAAAGAAGCGTGACACGCCAATTTTAAGATATGATGATGATTACGCAAAAAAATGTATAATTTTGTTATTTAATTATTTAGATGTTTTCTCCATTTTTTCTTTTGTGCAACTGCATAATTTAAACATTATGGCATACATTGCATCAAACATTTGAGAGAAGCAGCAACAGGAGAGGATTTATCACTGATGCTCGTATAAGCCGGAATATCTACATAATTAAAGTTACAATAATGTTGGTACGTAAATGTGACAGCAAATAGAATGTTGCATTAATCCATTCTTTCACGTGATTGTAGAAAAAAAATTCATCAGAAAAAACCAGTTATTAATAAATGTATATCTGTATCTAGTTATACAGAATAATGGAGATAAATATAATTTTTATGTGCATATCACTACATCTACAGGTGATTTAGGAAGAGTGATGTGTTATGTGCGCAATTAAGATAAGGAAAGTATCGGAATATTAATAGTTCAAGAAGAAATAAGAATAATTTATATTCATATTTTTATATGTCTAATTGTTAAATTAATTATTTAGCAAATTATATTTCATTATTAACACCTTGTTAAATTAAACTACATACATCCAAGTCATTTTGGTATAAATAAATTATATCGAAGTGGAATAACATTACTAATAATAATAGATATATGCAGAAAAGATGTTTGCAGTTGTTATTGAAAAAGAAACTAAGTCGAGTAAAATGCTTTTAATTTTTCAATCATGTCATCATAAATAAAATAGAGCAAGCTAGAATAAATTTCCAAAATCCACGAGATCGAAAATGTTCTCAAAAGGAAAGCATGCACGCGTATTCTCGAAAATTAAAATGTTAGATCGGCCTAGAAAAAAATTTGAGACGAATTAAATATCGGGACATCGATAAAACTGGATTTGGTGAATCCTGTGGAGCCCGTCCTCCAATTGCGCGCCGGAATAAGACATGTCAGTCCCTTCTTTCAGCTTTACCTGATAACTTAGGATCGACTTCGAAAGCACGCGACAGCGCGAGTGGTCGACAGCTGGGGCAACAGCGACAGGTGAAATCGATTCGATGCAACGCTATGGCAACGCGACCCTTATATACACGCGCGAGTCGATACACGTTTGTAATTCGCGCGTGTTGAGCAAGGGACTGAAAGGGAATAAAAGGGAGTACTAATGACGAACATGATGGAATCCCGCGTACAGTTCTATGCGCGAGTTGTGTAATTAAATAGCGGCGGAATTGATGGGGGGGAATACATTCTCGAACGAACGAGGAATATCCAGAATCCACGATTTTCAATTAGAAATATTAATAATTTTAATGCGAAATTCGACCGATAAGAATAAATCTACCCAGTGAGAAATGACAATGGAATCGACGTCAATTCGATGTCGATTCCATTGTCATTTCTCACTTAGTAACTAAATAAGAGAAATTTCCGATCAAAACGGATTTTACAATTAGTGCTCAAATATTTAATATTACTCTAGAGTTCTATTTCAAATTGCGTTTTAAGAATAAAAATATTTCATCGCGCGCAATGTTTGCAAAACTGGATATGTATATCTATAAGTTTATAATTAATTCATTTCGAAATGTTTAAGATTCACTAAGATTCACTTTAACTGAAGATGGAATTTCTCTTGCAATATGCGTGATTTGCATGTCTCATTACGATAATAACGTAACAGAAAATTTGTGACGCGTCAAATAAATATATAAAAAATATTAGCAGTATCAAATCTTATTTGGACCGTGAGAGTTTCAAACTAAATACCGATGAGAATAAGTCATTTATGGTGAAGCTGGATCTTGGATACTTCCGCAATATAATTTCGTGTGAATTTATTGTATATACTACGTATGTAGATCGCCTTAAAAAATATTAGACATTATTCTATGCATTTTTTAATTTTAATTTGCTAATATAATTTAATGAATAATCAGTGATTATTGCACAATCCTTTGTGGGATGCTTTGCACTTATATTTTTTGTGGTTTCTACACTTGCACTGGCACTACACTGAAGTAATTCTAAAAGCTGCATTAGAAAGAGGATGCATTAGAGAGAATGAAGGAAGCACATTTAGCCAAGGGGGCAGATTTGCATAATCTGAATCCTGTACTTTTTACTCAGCATTAGAACAACAGGAAACTTTCATTTCCTAAATTTTTCGAGAATATAGAAATGTCACGAGATAAAACCTCTGAGATGAGCGAGAAATGCTGCGAGCTTTTCGTCGTCAGACACCACACGTTTATATTGCTCAAATCTGTCTCCTCAAATTTACTACGTAACTCTCTGACTATGAATGGCTTTGTCTAAAGTTCCTCAAGTAAAAGTTTAAATCTCATTCAGCATTTTTAAGTTAACTATATAATATGCTTTTCAAAAATGTTCAAATTAATTTATTAATTAATATAAATTAGTATCTATGTGACTTTTTAATTAAAAAAACCGGATTTAATTCAATAATTTTTACGCTCACATGAATATTATTATTACCGTAATAAGTAAATCTTCAAAAGATAAACAACATTTAAATATTAAATCTTATAGGACCGTACATGTGAGAAACACAACCAATAAGAAAATGCCTTTAACGATCGAGCTGGATCTTAGGTGCTAATTATAATTCCGTGTGAATTTATATATATTACGTATGTAGTCTTTAAGATAAATAATAATAAAAATCTAAATTTTTCTTTATATAGCCCGAAACATGGCCAATTAATGAAAAAAATTTTTAAATGGTCTTTATTTGAAGAACCCTGACTTCGTCGAAAACTGAGCGGATCGAACTCAAAGTGGCGAATCAATCAAATAATTATAATTGATTGTATAATGATCAATATTGCACGTTTCCGCTATTGATCTGTTGCCCTTCGATGGACGCGCCGTGTACATACTGGCATGTATACAATGAGAGGCTTTACAACGGGTGATACGGGATGTGCACGTGACCGCACGTGCGATTAGCATGTGAATGCATGTGGTGCATGTACGTGTGCGTACGTGATGCAATGGCAGGGGGACGATAAGCCATTGATGCCGTTCACGGTATATAGCGCATCTACAAACTCGCTCGAGCTTGCGACATTCTGTGTACCTACGAGGTATATTTCGCAATAAGAGATAGCAACTTATTACACATATTGAAGTACGTGCGCGAGTACTGTACACGTAAAAGGATATCAACGTGATCTCAATCACGATGGCCTTAATTATATAAGCTTTAACGTAATAAGCCTAATTGTATATATAAGTGTATAGGTCTTAATTATACATTATTACTCACATTGTACGTCTACCATTGGTGCAACATTCACGTGATTACAAAGATTGTTATGGCGGCACAAGGAATGTGAGAATTCTATTCTATCCTTTGATATATAATATTTCGGAGATTTCAGGTTTAGGCACAATGAAGGGAATATAAGGAACAGAAATATACATATAGGCAACAAATTTCGACCTATCAGAAATTGCCGTGCATCGGATACACGATCTCTGATAGGTAAAAATTTATTGCCTGTTCCTATTCCTTATTCCTTTTCATTTCTATATAGGTGCAGATACACAATACAAAGAATAAGGAATAAAGAATTTCAACCTATCAGAAATCGGATAGACCGGAATACGGTTTCTGATGGATTAAAATTGTTATTTCTTATGCTTTATTTTTTTCTATTGCCTAAAAAACACACAAAAGTCGAAGAAAAATCAAAATGACTTTTGACTGTTAACGTCAATAAACAGTGAAATTTTTTATTTGACTTTCTGTTGACTTTTGGTGTGTTCCTTGGGACGTGTTTACACTCTAATTTCGCAATTTCCAGCGAACATTGCTGGTTCTCCACGTGCGCAGAGAGCCTTTATTATAATACTGTCGCACGCGTGAGACTGTGTGCGTGCGTGTGCTTTCGCGATAGTATGCGTGCAACGTGACTATCGAATCACGGTGTGAGAAGGGGCGGTGAAATGCCATCGATTGACCTTCCGAGGCGAGGAGATACGGAGTGTCTCGAAGATCCTCAGGTCCTCCTCGGCCGTCTCCTCCGTCTCTCGCGCTTCCTGCGTTTCGGTGTCGTCGGATGCCATCCCGCTTCCGTTCTAGAACGTCTGGCGAACGGTGTGGCTCCGCGCGTGAATTCTGCAAACGGAGAAAAAACGAGAGAGACGCACACGGCACGGTCTCACCGCGAAAACGACATCCCCAGCGTACAGTAACGAATAACCCTGCGTATAACGGCGACACCGACGATGAGGCGCCTCCGCGCCAAGCAGTGTCGTTAAACACCGACGTGCGTCGCGATGGCGGCCAGCCGATCGAAATCGTCCATCGATCCGAAGAAAACGGCCGCGTGCCGCGCTCTTTGCGCACGCTTCCTTCAGCGAGGGCCGAAGTTTCGTCCTTTTGGCAGAGCCAAGCGCGGAGAACGTGGATAGCCTCTTTCTAAAAAGAGAAAGAGAGAGAGCAGAACGAGTCAAAATGACATTCAAATGAATGAACAAAATGACGTAAATAATTGAAAGATGACTTATTTACTTTAGTGATTATTTTAGAATTATTTTGATATCTTGAGGTTTGTTCAGGTTTGAAATCTCTCGTCCCTTTTCCACTTAAAACAATATATAAATATATGTGTATTCGGACGTTGAAAAAAAAGAAAACGAAAAAAATCATTTTAGTATTGTATTCAAATATTTTATTATGTAGACAACATGAAGCAAGGGAACCTCATTGGCCGATATAATTATGCTTCCTGGCGGATATACGTGGCGATTCCGATTGAATATGTGCTGAAGATGGCTAAAAACAATAGCCGAAATGTACTCTATGTAATTGTATATTATATACGTCATAGTAAACGATTATTTATTTTGCGCTCTTATTATCGCGCTGGACCAGTCCATATTTTAATCCATGTAAATTTTAGCCGATGTAAATTTTCTTTTGTATTTAATTATTTTATTTCATATTATCGATATAAATGTATTTGAATTAACATACTATTAACTATTTTCTTAAAGACTATAATTGTTTTCTTTTTTTTAAAGATAAAATTACATGTATATCTTTTACGTTAAAAATATAAATTTATCAAATTAAAGTAATTATCTATTTTTCTATTAATAATATATATTTATTAAAATTTCTATTTTTTATTTTACCTGTAGGATAGGAAGATAAGATGAGGGATGAAAAGCAAAAGAAGATTAAATCAAAATTGTGCAATTGTGTATCGAGGAAAACTGATCAGAAATGAGCAGGATGAGCCATCTGTACATACACACTGACAATTCTGTAGCTATCTAGCTGCATTATCAACATGGGAAAATGTTGAAATCGTTGAAATTATATTGACTTATCAGATGAGCTGATTACTGTAGGATCTCTGTAATAAAAGTCTCACTAGACATGCTGCATTATCGATAATCTTATAGTTAAAATAAGTCACCGGGTGAGACTAACCTCACTAACCTCTCTCTCTCTCACAAAAGCAAAAATAAAACTATCATTTTTAAAAGAATAAAAATATTTTATGCATAATACTTTAGAAAGTATTTTTTTTATGTGTTTGTGAATTAATCCTTTGCTAATACATTATTCACGATTTAAAGGAATTTTTATCACCGGTACTCAAGATAATAATGATATACCGTGTGCTTGCACGCGTGTTTTTGGCAATGTTTATTGTGTAAAACGTGAAGTACAAGTTAATTGTAGAAAAATGTTTTCCAGATTTTATAATTTGTCTCACAGAACTGCATGTATTCAGTTTACTCAACTGCAAAGGTGCTACGTAAGTGTGTGACACTGTTCACTTATTATTTATTTTATTATACAAGCAAATATGTACATTATATTATTTTGCATATAGAGAAGTTCTAAAAAGAAAAGTAATGTCAAGCGTTTCGAGGCACCAAAAGATATAAAAGGAGAGATACCGATAATTGTTTGCAAACGAAAAGAATTCAATTTTTATAAGGAGCAAGAATATTCCAAATATGAACCGATACCATTGGCTAGTAAAGGATGGCATCATTATAAATCCAAAGGAGATTTTTTCTATATATATCCTCTCACAAATGTTCATATTATAATTTATTAAGTTTCATTATTATTTTCCAATGCCGTTTTTATTTTATAATTTTAATATGTGAACTTTGAAATGTTTAGGTAACAAAAGAAGCATATAGTGAATCGCTTAATACGTATAATGAAGCGTTTAATGAAAAAAAAGAAAAAGAAGAAGAAGCATATGATTCATTTGAACGTTTTGGCTTAAATCCACAACTAACAGATATCTTAAAAAGATACAATATAACGAAACCTCTAAAGATACAGAAAATTGGAATACCCAAAATACTAAATGGAGCTAATACTGTTATAGCGGCAGAAACTGGTTGTGGAAAAACATTAACCTATCTTCTACCTATGATAGAAGAAATTTTGGGATGGAAAAAATTAACAGGTCGTCGTTACAATGCTCCATTAGGATTAATTGTGACACCTTCTCGAGAATTGGCGTTTCAAATAGGGGTTTGTATCACGTAGAAAGTTAATTTTGTATATCTTTATCAATTACATATTTTTCTTCACAGTTGGAAGCAAAGAAAATATGTCAGTATCTTGGTATTCATACAAAAACTATTACTGGTGGAAAAACAAAGAAAATGATGTTAAATCCACCTGTAGGAGAAGTTGATATCATTGTAGCTAGTTTTGGAGTCATCAGCAAATTAACTACAACCAAGATTTATAAATTAAATATGGTTAGGCATCTTGTATTGGATGAAGCAGATGCTTTATTTCACGAGACGTTTGAAGATCAACTGCGAGTATTCTTGAGAAGAGTGCCAGTATGTTTACATATGTTAATGTTAAAGAAGTTTAATATATGTATGTGCAAACGCAATAATATTATTTCTAGCTCGGCTTCACGCAAAATCCAGAGAATACTGAATTACCAATCAGTGCTCAATTCACATTAGCATCTGCAACAATGCCTTCAAGAATGTCAAACGTTCTAGAGGATATCGTAAACGTAAGATAGCGTTAAAATATTCTTGGAATAAAGATAGTATTAAGATTGAATGCGTTATTTATTAATATTTTTATAGGTGGAATCATTGCAACATATAAAATCGGACAAATTGCATCACATTCTCGTGCCTCAAAAATTTATAAGGGTAGGTCCAAGTGACAAACCGACTGCACTTTTGAAATATATTAAACCAAAAATAGCTAATAAAGAGCAAGTAATTATTTTTAACAATAATAATAGCACTTGCAATTGGGTCAGTATGTTCCTGAACAATAGCAACATACAAACAGTTTCTTTAAATGGCGATATGCAGTTATATGATAGGCAAAAGAAGTATGCCGATTTCAAAAGCGGTAGATGTAACGTATTGTGCACTACAAACGCTGGATCTAGAGGTTTGGATACAGTGACTGTACGTCACGTGTTGAATTATGAATTTCCATATGCAACGGCTGATTACATTCACAGGTATACAATTAATATCTATAAATATGTCGTGTCTCTACAAATCTCCATATATGTTTGAGATAACAATATAAAGTTGCGATAGATTTTTTATGTACATATATACATTTTTAAATATTAATTTATAATATGTGTATATTTTCAGATGTGGTAGAACGGGAAGAGTCGGTAATGTTAAGGACTGCAGAGTGGACAGTTTTATAAGCACTATGAATGAAATCGTTGTAGTGCAAAAAATAGAGAGAGCGATACGAAAGTCGAAACCGATACCGATATTCGATATCTACAAGCCGAAGGAAGAGGATGATGTTTACGAGCCATTTGGTTCACCAATTGAAACGGAAAAAGAATTTAGCATACCTTACTGAATTATATTACGCGATTGTGTAAATAAAGATTATTCTGCTATTCAATAATTTCCACGTAATTGAATATATGAGAGTTATGGAAATATTCGATCATTCTATAGGTGCAACTTGCGTCAATAACACTTTTTTCGCGAAACTTATGTAATTAAGTTGCTCGAAGATAGCTGCACTAGTGCTTTATGAGGAAACCTTCCGAGTGCCGTCCAATAAGATTAAGTAATTAGCGAAATGTTGTTGCCCTGTTTGATCTCTTCAAGAGACTACCCCGAATAACTTCTTCACTCGGACTTATCGGATTAATTAACATAGTCTGCGTCAACCATTACCCGCTGAAACTTCTATACGTCTCTTCCCGATCTTCCATAGTTTATTTTCATCCATTTGCTCTTCAAGAAACACACTCAAGAGAAAATTTCGTCGCTTCTACGACAAGCTTATCAGCATCGTGGCGCATTTACTAGATGAGGAATCGAGCCGCGCGTCCTACGCCCGAATTACTTTCCTCGCCCTTCTCGTCGCTGTTCCTTTTATCGCGCCGATTTCTGAATTCTGAGTTCCAGTTCCAGGGAGGAAATCACCACCCACACATACGAATGTGGCACGCTAGTTCATCCGTTCGGCCGATGTCTCCCTCCGTTGCGTCCGGCGGTACTCCCACACAGCGGATGCCCACACCCGGCAAATAGCAATGCTCTTCCTCGAACAATCGTGGTAAACCTTACGTTCAGGCTGCCGCCGTCGTTGCCGACAAGTTTATTATTCGCGCCGGGTTTTAGCGAAATTAAATGTGCCTGGCACGCGTCAATGGTTCATGCCTGCGCCGCGTGATGATAATGATGGGTGTGCCATGTCACCACGACTCACGGAAGGACCCTCGCTGTCCCATGAGACCGGGAAACGATGCCTGGAAACGATAAAGTGAAAACAGGGCGAATTAGCACTCTTATTGAACATGCGCGCTCTCATTATTTGCGACTTTCGTGAATCCATCATAACAACGTGTGAATAGAATGAATCCGTTTGCCATTCTTATTGCAGATAAGATTGACACAAGGGAACACAAGGGAAGAATATTTTTTAGATTGAAATTTTATTATAGTTTTATTATGATGTTTTACTGTAATATCTTTTTCAATTCTCTTCTCATTATATAGTCTTGTTGCAAGTAGAGTTTCTTTTAAATGAACTTCTAGGAATGGTATTCATAGTTCTTATATTTAAGATCGTCTTAAGTACAGTTTTAACTGGCCTTAAGATGTCATGAATTAATCAAAGGGCCGTATTATCATTTTAAGGTATTAAGACAATTTTGAAACAAAAGTGAACTATGAATACCGGCCTCTAGAAGGTGAAAATTAAGACAAGACGTATTAGGGGGTTGCATTAAAAACCGTTGTTTTTTCATCATTAATGTTATATTTCGGCAATAAAAATAAAAATTGTTTTAGAATAAATAAATATTATGATCTTTATATGCAAAACATTAAAATAATATATACGATAAAAAATTCCTTACATTTAATTAATTATACGATTAATAAAATAAAATTAATTCAAAATAAATATATAAAACATAAATTTTTTCTGTTCATATAATTAATTGCATAAATTTTTGTATTGTATAACATAAATATTTTGTCGAATATTAATCCATATATTCAAAATCTGATTCTTTATTAAAAGAGGATTTTTTATACTTTAAAAAATCAAACATTTCATTTAATATTCCAGGTTTAAGTTTGAAGTTTTCCAATTTTCTCTCGTGATAATGTTCTTAAACTAGTGAATGGCTATCATGAGCGACAATCGTGCGTGAGCACGTCCAGAGAAATTAAGTTAAGTTTGAAGAAGAAAAGGGATAGATGTACATCATTCTCTCTCGTGGGATTTTGCCCACTCACCTTATGGCTATACTCTATTAGAGGGTCTCTGTAGTACACTATTTAATGAATATCCGCGTACTTTGAAAAGATATGACACGGTCACGCCTTTGGTATACTACTGTTGTTAAAGTTTACGTCTACCGTCACTGTCTACCGCTACTGAGAAACGGTAAACATGACTGACAAGTTGACATTAGTGATGACCGCAATGATAATGGACTAATCAGCGTGGGTGGCCGCGTGACATGAGGAACAGAAGCAGTTCGCAAGCAGACGACACAACATCTATCCAGGGGATCCTGTCTCTGACCTTACAATTAGCCAAAAGCCAAACCTGCTTTGCGCCACACGCAGTTTCTGTGACAGGTGCTATAAACTCTGACCCCGAGTTCTGTTTAATTTTACACACTAATTTTTAAATCGTGTTTCCTTGATATACTATATATAATAATGCTTTTAAACTTTACGATTATTTGAAATTTAGTTTTTTACATACAAGGTAAGGACGGTTTTGCTGAAGTATCTAAAAATTCAGTTAGATACGAACCTAAACATAATTTTGTTAGATCATCAAAATAATTATGTTCTCAAAACGCTTAAACTGATTGCTAAAATATTAAAATTTTTTACAGCATTGTTCGTCATGCTTAATCCATTATTAATTTTCCCATGATTGAATCTTTCTTCATATTTTTTTCTACTACAAAAATGTTAGCGAAGTGTACGGTACACACATAACGACAAGGAAATCATTATATGTAACATTTAATTGTTTTGATGAGAAGCTGTAATTAGAAACAAGCGTTATGCTCGCACAGATTGCGCTTAGGAAGACAGCTTACAAAGTCTTTACGTCGACGTGGATTGTTATTATTTACGCGGAGATACCCAACAGTGGTTTCACACATACCATCGCACACACGTAACACGTATCATATACGTAACAGAAAAACAGGCTTGGTTCTTGGAAACGTTCGATAGAAATAATATTGATGAAGGAAATAAATCACTTGGCAAAATAATTTATAAATATGTACGAGCTTATTACAATATTAATATATAACAATTTCATTAATATAAATTATGAAATAATATACTGGAAATTACAGAAAATTTATGAAAAGCAAAATTTATTAATTTGGCATGATAAACAGTTATTTGTAATAATAATTATTTAAATCAGTACATTTAATAAATTATATACTCTTATGTTTGCATATCGGATTAAAACGTAAAGTATGGAAAAAATAAGAAAATAAGCAAGAAAATAAATTTAATTTTTTTATTGCTACATTGCACACTAACTTTAATATTTTTATTCTTCATAATGCTTAATTTTTAAATTGTTATATAATTTAGAATTTTAAAATTAAGAGAGAAAGAGAGATTTTTTAGAAAAATTGATTCTGCATTAATACTTAATAAAAGGCTTTTCCTTTTTTTATTCTTCATTATAGGTATTAGTATTCTACGTATAAATAATTTTAATTTAACGTATAAATATTCTAATTTTAAGATTCTATTAATTACATCGAAATTTTTAAATATTAAGACATTATTAATTTATTTCTTAATCGCAATTCTGAAATTCTTATAGATAAGACAGAATTCCATTAATTATACACTGTTCTAATAACAAGCTGCTGACTTAACAGAATCGCAATTACGAGTGTATGTAGCGAAAACACGACTTAAGTATACCGCGGTTATAAATCTACTGTCTAATAAGTTATACAGCCGTTCGTATAATCGCTAGTCTTGCATCGATGACTAATTTTTCTTTTCGACAAGCTTAATCGTCATTGAAATTCTTCTAACATTCACCGCTCTCGATAATGCGTATATCCATTTAACGTTTCACGCAAGCGGTTTGGAGTGCGTGTACATCGGGAAAATTGATTTTGATCGTTGTTAGTTGATTTTTTGCCAGATTGCACTCTAATTCGCTTTTAATAACTTCCCGCGCGCATCTGATCTTAATGGACAAGCGTTTCGTTGAGTCACGCTTGCCAGGAATCAGATCAAGAATCCCGGAATCTCATTTCGATTGCGTGAAAATCATGATTAGTCAGAAATAACAGGCTAACAAGCTACGCGAATGCGATTACGAATTAATGCATTTGAAATAATTACGTTTTACGTTTACAAGAGAACCAGAAACTGTACTTATACCGTCTACTAAGGTCTTATTAAGGAAAAAACATATTACAAGGGACAAGAAAATTCAAACAGTGGTCATATTATGTGCAGACAATAATATCATATGATTACATCGTAAACGTATGCGACAAATTCGTCAAGTGAATCCCGAACGATCGTAGATGCAAATTTTCACATAGATTTGTTACGTGAATCCTCGTCCTTTCTTCCATTTTTTTCCCTTCTTTCTTTATACCAGTCATAAATGTGAAAAAAGAAGTCTCGACTAGAAAACAGCAAACTCATTGTGTATTAACCATCACTCGCATTCTCGCATATTCTAAGAAGATTCGGAGCGCTGAGCGCTCGAGCAGCGGAGCACCATGGGGCGGACACGCGACATGGTGGGAGTAGACACTGTGGGGGGGGGGGGGGGGGGGAGGGGAGAAGACACGGAGAGTGGGGGACACGCAGCGGAGCGGTGACGACCGGTCCGCCGGAAGCGAGCGCAGCAGTCATCCCGCGGAGCGCAACGTGTCGTGTTGAGTATTGTCGCTCGCGCAACACGCAAAAGATCTTTCCAGTGATTGTCATCAGCTGTATTCAACACGCGGCAGTTAACATTGCGGAAAATTCAGCGTTAACAGAAAAAGCGAGAGAGGAAACGAGGGTGAACGTTGGTCACGTTCGATTCGACTTGAACGCGCGGCTGACTTCAGATCAGTGCGACACCACGAGCTCGCCGGGGCCCCAGCGGCGGCGATAAACAAAGAAATCCGCCGCGCCGGGATGGGAATGATGGGATGCGATCGCGACGTGAGTGAGACCGAATCACGAGTCCTGAAGTCGGAGCGGTAAGAAAAGATTACTTATCCACGTGCTTCTCACGAAGTAAATATCCTTGGAGCGTACGTGTACGTTACTGGCGTAGCAGCCACGTTTGTTTATGTTCGCGCGACTAGAGAGTGGCCGTGAATC